TTTATCATGAAGGAATTATGAATGCTAATGAATTAAGTACTTAACATCTTTTCACAAAGAGTATCTTTACCTAATTTTAGCCTGAGAAGGCTTTCTTGTAACTCTCACTGAAATCCTATTTTCTGTTACAAAGGGCCCCCTAGGTTGCCGATTTTACCAGAAAGATTTTACAAATAAGACATTTTTCTCCCTTAAGCATTACCAAGAAGATCTCCTAATGCTAATGTTTATGTTTTGTCATATCTAGTAGTTAATGATATTGCTGTGTCATACGAAGGAGGAAAGGAAAAGGTATGGTGGTCTTTTAAAATAGGTATACAATTTTAAAATAGATATGGTGTCATACATATGTGCACTGTAGTGCACATATGTCTTCTGTACAAGTGCACAAGTCTTCTGCAATTTTTTTTCATTGTCTTTTTAGGTATGAAGGAAAAATGTAAGCTTCAGAATACATGGGGTCACTTTTAGTACTTCTCCATCCAGTTCAAGTTCTGTACAGTGTTATTATCCCAAAGCTGTATTCCAGTAATATTTATCTCAAATCAAAAACCTGGCTGTAACATTGGACACTCCTTGAATTGCCATTGTCAGACACAAGCCAAAGGAGAACAGGCTTCTCCAAATGGAACTATTCTAAGAAAAGAAAGACTACTCCCAAAGGAAAGTACTACTTGGAGTAATTGTTCTAATTCTAAATTCTTTAAGATAATGCTTTTAAAGGAGTGATCATACCCACTGAAGATGTTTCTACCTGTTAAATAAGATGCAGATTACTAAAAATTGACATCGTGTAAAAAAAAAAAAAAATCAGTTTGCACAAGGGCACATAAAAGTGTACTTAACTTATTAATGAGAGTTTATTAACAAATAATGGTAGGAAAAAAATACAAGCTCTCCAAATATATGCTATAACTATTATTTTTTTATTTTAAAATCCATGAAATTGAAACAAGGGGGCACAAAATCACAAAATGGAATATAGAAACCATTAGAATTAGATTTAAGTAATGTTAAGTTTGATGGCTTTGTAACAGTAGCAATGGAAAATTACTGAGGTGCATGATACATAGAGAAAAAAAATAGAGTACAGCTAGAGAACATACTGAGAATTCTCACAAGATAAATTGTTATAGTTATGACATAGTCTAAGAAAAACAGTCTAGAAGAACAGGACACAGGCATAAGGAGTATCTGGGAACCGCAGGTGTCCAGGATGGGCTACAGTTCAACTAACTGATAAGTAGGAGGATAGGAGGATTATTATGTCTCTGGTGCTAACGAACCAATTAAACTGGTATGAGCATCTACTGCACATGCTTCAAAGACTGCCAGAAGTGATGAAGATTGTTGGAAGAAGTAAACGACCCTCAGAGACCACCACCACAATTCTGTACGCACGCGGGGAACTTTCTGGAAAATTATGTAATCCATACATAGCCTCATGAATATGTATGTATGCCCAGTGGTTATAAAACGATGGCTTGTGTGGCGATGGGGAGACACACGTTAGGAGGAGCTATCCCCCGTGTCTTCTGGCGCTGCAATAAAGAATACCTGCCTGTCAGCTTGAAAACTTTGTTGGCAAGTTTGTTCCTGGTGTTTTCTCCATATCAAAATCCAGAAATTCCTACAGTTTTTCCAAAGGTACAAGTTACAGAGTTATGGTTGTAAAGATCACTGTATCCTCCAGAGGAAATCTAGGGAAATCTTCCACTTTATTAGAAAAAATAGTAGTCCACTTTATTTACTGACTTTTCTTCCCAGGAACCATGCTACCAGGACCTACATATGGTGCTGCACCTTAGTCTGACTTTGTTTTCTCCCCAGATTTCTTACCGGGGTGATCCTCCATCTCTGCCACCTTGCCTTTTATTACAATCCAATAATCACTGCTGAAATCCTTGCAGTCTCACTGCTGTAAACACCAGCTCACGTCTAGACTCTCAATTACAAAAGACTAGAAGGTCAGTAGTGATGGAAGGATATGTGTTACAGACTTAAATCTGAATTAATATCAAATAAGGACCTTGTTAAGTGCAAGATTGGTCCGTATGAATTAGAAGTGCAGCTGTGACCCATATACAAAGGGAACAGAAAGCAACCTCAGTGGCAAAACAATGAGTAGAATGCCAAAATTGGTGTGATACTATTGACATAGAAATTATTATTCACCCACAAGAAAACATCTCAGGATCATTGAAAATAAGCTGAGCATTTGTAGTTACAAGTGTTCAAGTGGAGATACAGAGGTAATAAAAACAAAAGAGAGGAGGAGAGGGCAAAGCAAGGAAGGGCAGGGAAGGGCAAGGGGCAGGCAGCAAAACATGTAATTCAGCTGTGCATACAATTCCAAGTTTTTCCATCCAAATTCAACAGCAGAATAAAACACTTCCATTCTTTTTTACATTTTTAACTCACCTTTTTGGTGATGCAGTAAGCTTACATAGTTTCAGCTTTGCATGAAGGAAAAAGAACTAAGACTTAACACAGCACTGAAATTCAAAGGAAGGGTAGTAAAATCCCAGAAAAAAAGGAGGTTAGGCAGAGTCCCTCCGTCAGAAGACTGACAAGAGTGAACACCTGACTGAAATTGCTAATCATATTTGAAGGATGATCCACAGAAGAGTCATTTTGAAGGGCAATACTGGTATACATATTAATTTCAGCTGCTTTTAGGAGTGATTGAATTTATTGTCTAGGGTCGATGTGGGAGGGGGTAACGCACAAGCACAAACCATCAGATATAAACCAATGTTGATAACTTTAGAAGAAGTGAGATTATCAAAATTTCAGTTCAAGAATTTTGTCCATATACTTTAAACAAATATGTCTAATTATACATAAAGAAAACTTCTGTATGTCCAAAAGACATATGCTTTTAAACATAAAATACTTTCATAGGACAGTGTGCTAATTAAACAAGAACAAGATAATAACATTTTAGAGGTAAGATACAAAAAGCAAACAAAGAGCATTAGGGAGATCCAGGGTGCTGAGACCAGAAAGAGAAAAAACATTTCTCATTGAAAAAGGCATGGAAGTAATTTCCCACATCCAGCTCTGTTCACTGTCCAATGACACATGGCCATACTAGAAATTGCTGTTGTAAATTTTACCAATCCTATTATTAAGCACTAAATGCACTGAATGTAATGCTGATAATCACGAGCACTGTAGGTTCTTGCCTTTCTGCCTTACCAAAACTAGATCCCAGGCATCCTGGTGAGAGACACCTTGTAATCTATGCTAATTTCATTTATTATCAGACTTCCATAAACCTAGCCATCATTTTTGAAATACAGTGCTAAAAGGGAGCGGTGTAAGTGAAGCACCAGAAAATACACTAACAACACCCTGCAAACTTCCCTACACATCATTATGCAAAATAACACTATTTTCTGCTATTACTTGCAGTAATCCAGGGTGATAGCTTATTGTTATTACAACCCAGGACAGTAATACACCGGATGGAAAGGATAAATGACTTTTAAATATCTCTTATCTGAAGACCATTTAAATTCAGTAATGTTGACAAAATCAGCTAAAGCTTCCCACAAAATCTAGTTATGGTTCCCATTGGTTTCAGGACAAATCCTTGTTATCTGTGTTGCCTTAGATCCCAGGCACAATTTCCTTCATACAACATATTAATTCTATAAATCATAGCATTATGCAGTTTAAATCAGGAAAAATAACTTTCTGTAATGCTACTCTGAAGGTTTAATTTCAATCTTGCTTCTTGAATGCATGTTCAGATATGTCCTCCAGAAATGTGATTGCTTTGGCCAGAGTCCATCATTTCCATCTGCTCTTAATTCTCCTCCCCCAGTACCCTATACTGCACGGAGGACTCCTAAGTCAAAAGTAACTACCATCACTACTTTCCGCAAGCAAAGGCTAAGAGATACAGCTTCTTACATCTTGGATTTTCCACTTTGAAGACTAGGTTGCTGTTGAAAACCACAGACAGAAAAGCTCATATGTCAGCTACTGAGCATTATTTGGCTTTCAGGAACTGATGTAATTCATTTCATCTCTCCCCAGTTCATATCAATGAATTTTGTTTTGCCTGTCTTAGTCTGTGCTTTGAATATCTCCAGGATGGAGGCTCCACAGCCTCTCTGGGCAACCTGTTTTAGAGCTTGACCATCCATTCTCATAGCAAAAAAGGATTTTATGAAGGCAAAACCCATCATACATACCAATGCGAACCCCATCATCCCAATAAAGATGTCCTTCTGCACTCAGAGTGTCATTCAAAGTGACAGTGATTCCCATGGGTTTTTTTCGGCTGTAGAAAACAGTATTTTTCTTCTCAGTTTCCTCAGGTAATCAATCACATTTCATATTTCTCAAATGTTAGAATGTTTTAAAATATATTGCATGCCACTCAATTTATCTCCCAGTCATCTTCCTAAACCAATCCTATGAAATTTAAAGGAAGTCATTAGGAGGAAAGAAAAACCAGCCATAAAGCTCCAGTGCCATCATACCTGTATCTTCTCTGAGGGTTGGTAGTATTCTATTTGTTTGTATTTGTGCAAAAGAAGATTTTAAATTTCAGTCAGTCTTCCCTGTATAAAGTTGTATCAGCAGGCTTTTGCCAAAGAGGCTATATCTGCTTCAGATACATTCATAAAAAGCTGGTTAAAGTTTTAATTGTCCCCAAAAGCCAGTGTCTTTATCATATTTATGACAAAACAGCCTTCTACTAAATTGCTTTCACATTACAAGGTTTTTTTCTTAGAATGAAATTATCACATTTTTCTAGACAGATTAATTAGGATGGTAAATCCTCCTCTTACTGCAGGAATAACTACCTAATAGTTTTAAGAGTACTGTTCAAATGAGATGAGCCTGAAAGCTCATATTCTTTATCTTGTTCTTTTTTTTTGAAAGGAAAGTTGCTGTAACTAAGGAAAAAATCCTAAGAGCATCATAATTACAGAAGTTTGAGTGGAATTTCCGGCTAAGAAGATCAAAGGAGTTCCACTTATTCATGGAGCATAGGGCAGATCATGGTGCTGCCATGGATAGGCATGTGCCACATACATTAATATGTAGAGATGGGATAACAGGATGCATCTTAAATTCAGCATGTTCTTGGAAGTCTCCTCAGATGTTGACTTACAGGAAACAAGATATTGCCTCTGAAAGAGAAAAGCCTTTATTAGTCCAGCTTGATTGTCTTGTTCAGAAAATCTAAAAAAAACAGGCAAAAGCAAAAAGCAGAAAAACAGATTAACAATTTTTTTAATATTTACAAAAGACTTCACAGTTGTCACCTCTTTTCATTTATGTTTGTCTGCAGACTTCATATAACCTATTAACAATTGCCAAACATGCATTAAAATCAACATAGCAAGAGAAAGACAAGGAAATTTCTCTGCCAAATTAGAGCACCTTCATTTATTTATGCTTCAATTAAGAAGTGACACTAAAACCAGCAGGTACCACTGTCAGCCCTAAGAGGGGAACTGGAAAGGGAAAAGGTGAGAAAAACCTGTGGGGAGTACTATAAAAACTGCTTAATGCAAAGTGTCCCAAAGGCATGACACATCCTAGTGTACATAATTTATTATCCCTCTTTTCTGCAGGGCAGCACTCAGGACTTGCAAGCAGAGAGTGAAGCACTAACAACTGATGTCAGGGAGCACTTCCAATCTCTATTAAATGTATTGAAGAATACCTTGGCAAATTGGGCAAGACTGGAAGCAACATGATAACCCTGAATCTGCATTTTTTTAAAGGCATTAAAAGACCTATCGAAAGGTATGCCGCTGCAAGATAAAGCACAGTTTCTGAAAAGGAGACCTTAATCCATCAGATATATGCTATATAAATAGCTCTACTCTGCTAGACCTGGAGCTTTAACTGGAACGAAGTGCTGTTCCCATTTTTTTTTATTTTTCCAGTTATCTTGTTTTACAGCTTTCTAGAATATAGTCCTTAGCCAGCACAGACCGACATTTAGGCAATTACTTTCCTCTTAAAAGAAATACAATATCTGATGGTGGCATATGTGCAGAGTACAGAAATTGCCGAGTCTTACTCCAAAATCTGATTACACTGTTCCATTTTCTCATTTGATGTATAATTATGGTCAATTAGGGCTGAGAGCACTAAGGTCAGCTTTGCTCCTTTAAGTGCATTTGCCACCAAAGCGCTCTACTTTAGTCTTGCCAGTGTAGCATGTTGGAATAAAAATGATGCACAGGGAAAAATACGTAGGAGTGGGATTCAGTCAAAGCAAACTTAGAATATGCTTCCTGCAAGCGGTCCAAATCCCAGAGCAGCATAAGGCCTCCCATGTGAGGGGGAGCCTTATAGGCAAGCTAGCATATAAAAAAGACAATTTTTATTTGATAAAGAGCCAAACATCTTTTTGTGTCCATTTTGCTTGGAATGTAATTTTTTGAGCCAGGTGAGCTTGTACGATGTTCTGGCTGGTCTCTATATTGTGTTGCAAAGGCCCAGCAGTTAACAACTATTAAAAACTTGTGACTCACCCTTGTTCCTTTCTGGTTGTGATTCCTTGAATATGGGTAAAATGCACCTAGTTCCATCCAGCGAATACACAGCTCATACTCTGAGTCTTTGAAGAGGCCACAGATATCAGCTCCTGTCTGAAAGTTTCAAAATGACCCAACTGGGACACAATAAAATTATGTACAGCACCAAGAAAATTAAATGTAAAGTAATAGATCATTAGCTTACATAAGATATTCTAAAGGGACTGAACTGCATCATACCTGACAGGAATAATAGTACCTTAAATTTTCCGCACTTCAGTATGGTAAGGGTTACACAGGTAATATATTTTCACCAAGTAATGCCATTTCTCAAATGCTTTAAAATAATATTATTTTTCTCAAATGAAGCCTTGGCCATTTCCACAAAGTACCTGCAGAGGCAACCAAGTAAGCTTAAGGGGAATTTATGGTTCCTGGTTTCTCAGCTGAGGATATGAACACCTTTCTCTATAGCATATGCTGTTGATCTATGCTGTGTGACCAGCATGGATGCATTACTGCTCCACTTTCTTAGAACAGCTCCTTTGCAGCCATGCTCCCCCCCGTGAATCATTACAGCAAAGTACTAAACCACAGTACTAATCAGAAACTTCACTGATTAAATCACACTGCTTTCCAATGCTAACTCCACAATAATTGTCTAAACAGCTGCTTCAATAATGCACTATTTATTTATTTTTTTACGGGATTTGCAGCTTTAGTGACACTATAATTACAGAAAAAATGCACAAGTCACTTTAATTACCGTAGTAATTGAACTAGACTAATGTGCTGTAATTATTTCTTCCAAGACAAACTGTAAGTTTTCTAGTGTCTTTTATTTCTTTGTAACATGCTATCCAACATTTTCAGCCTCTGCTTAGTCTACCCTACTTCAACAATGCTTTGGAAATTGCAGATAAAATTTCAAATGTAAAGGAAGTGTATATGATACACAGAACTGCTCAAGAATGAGTATGGCCTGAGTGTTTTGCTGACTCAAGGTGCCAACTCTGTGATCCAGGGATGAGCCAAAGCTGTATACATGAAAAGCAATTACATATCTTCTGTTGCACAAGTACTCCTTCAGTTACTACCAAAGAATAAAGTGGAAACTGAGCTATATATAAATTCATGGAACCATGGAATTATACAGTGGTTAGGGTAAGAAAGGAACCTTAAAATCATGTAGTTCCAGCCCTCCTGCCAAGGACAGGAACACCTCAAACAAGACCATGTTGCCCAAGGCTCTGACCAGTGTAGCCTTGAACAATGCCAGGGATGGAGCATTTACCACATCTTTGGGCAACCTGTTCCAGTGCCTCACCACCCTCACAGTAAAGAACTCCTTCCTTATACCTAACCTGAACTTCCCCTGTTTTAGTTTGAACCCGTTATCTCCTGTCCTATCACTACAGTCCCTGATGCAGAGTCCCTCTCCAGCATCATTGTAGGCCCCCTTCAGATCATAGAATCATAGAATCATAGAATTGTTACGGTTGGAAAGGACCTTAAGAACATCTAGTTCCAACCGCCCTGCCATGGGCACGGACACCTCACACTAAACCGTATCACCCAAGGCCTCTTCCAACCTGGCCTTGAACACTGCCAGGGATGGAGCATTCACAACCTCCCTGGGCAACCCATTCCAGTGCCTCACCACCCTAACAGGAAAGAATTTCCTTCTTATATCCAAACTAAACTTCCCCTGTTTAAGTTTTAACCCGTTACCCCTTGTCCAGTCTCTAATGAAGAGTCCCTCTCCAGCATCCCTATAGGCCCCCTTCAGATACTATCAGGAGGCTGCTATTTTCTATAAATTTCAAGTGTTAGAATGTCTGGAAACGGTATGTAAATGATCATACTTTCTAGTTACAGTATCTCTCAAAACAGAAAGAAACATTTCACTACATTTCCATTCATACTTAATATACAGAAATGCTGGTAATATTCTTATTGCTGTCAAATTATTGTCAATTATATAAGTAAACCAGGCCATGCCAGCTAAATCTAGAAACAAAAAGTATTTTATATTTTAATTACAGTAATTATGTGAGCCTGAAGTAATTACTGTTCCCAAGAGCTGATCAGACCTGCTCTCCATTCTGCGTTGTGAATGAATACTAGAGCAGAGTCTTTGGATTGATTGCTTCCATTTACAATGCAGAGCATCACCCTGGCTTGGTCTTGGTGGCTGCCTCATAATAGAAACCTCTGCTGAAAAGAAGACACATTGTGTTTGAATGTGTTGGGACAAGGAAACATTCGATGGCAAGTAATTACATATAAATTAAACTATATGAGAAACAGCACTGTAACCATCTTATTTCATAATCCAGGTCATAATTAAGCTTGTACAACATAATGTTTATAAGGATGAAGACCGTGAAACAGGTATACCAAGACCTGCTCCCCAACTGGGCAAGCAGTAAATTTCTTTAGTATCAGACTTGGGTAAACTCTCTTTAAAATGTACCTTGAAAACTGCATCTGCTCAGGGTCAGTGATCTTAAACCTGCTAGACTCAAAACAAAGATTTTGCCTGCTTGTCCTGAGACAGTCAGTGATGCAGCTGCAGGTGCAGACATGCTTGAGCAGGTGTGGGTTTTTTCTTCTAGCTGGCTCCAGTTGCAGAAGGTATTTACTGCAGTGAAATCACAGAAGCACAGCTTCAGCTTAGAACTGTGCAGACCCACTTCCCCTTCTGCATACCCCTTCCAACAGCTCATGTTCATATTACCCTGACTGCACCACGTGCAAAATCACTGTGCTAACCGGGCAGTAGGGGGACTGAAATAGTCCCAGCTGACAGAGACATAGAACTGCTGCTTAAACTTTGGAACACCAAAGTTCACTTCTAGCTGAACTGAAGAATCAAAGATATTGGATTGAAAAGGAAGATTTCTCAAGCATGTTAAATAAAGTGGTGAAAATTTTGGCCATATGACAGTAGAGATAGAATATTAATTTTGAAAATACTGTGACTACAGAAATACATTATATATGCTAATTTAGAAGAAACTGCAAACATATTTAAATGCTACCACATTATCCATAAAAACAAAATCTGCGTGGCACTGTGGAAAGTTCCATATCTGAATGTTACCTTCCCAAGAATTCCTGAGAAACTCTTCATAATAACCTATTACAACAGTGAGCAACATGAGTGCTTTAATAAACCATTAATAAATACTTGCTAAGAAGTACTGAAATATAGCCAAGCTAATAACAAGTATTTCTAGTATTTTTAAAATGCTATTATATAGATAGGTGCTAAATAGAGAATAATACAGGCATTTATCCAAAACCCATTGGATATTCAGGCAGCATTAGATGAGAACTTTTCATTTGCTTTATTCATACAAGTTATCCTTAAAATAACCACTGAGAATTGCAACCTATTTATTAAAGATCTCCTGAAAGCAAGTTTAAAATTACTTTCAGATTCCTGTTACAGTTGAATGTAAACATTCAATCGAAGTAATGGGTGTAAACTAGAGCATAGGAGGTTCCATGTGAACATCAGGAAAAATTTCTTTACTGTGAGAGTGACAGATCACTGGAACAGGTTGCCCAGGGGGGTTGTGGAGTCTCCTACATTGGAGATATTCAAGGCCCGCCTGGACAAGTTCCTGTGTGATGTACTCTAGGTTACCCTGCTCTTGCAGGAGGGTTGGACTAGATGATCTTTTGAGGTCCCTTCCAACCCTTGGGATTCTGTGATTCTGTGAAGTATTCTGAGGTTAGATAAGCTAGTGTATGTTAATGAATTAGGCTTCCAAATCTGGATATTTAATATGAATTCTGCCTAGTTGTTCACATGAAACTATGCCTACTGCACACATTTTAATTATTAATAGATATTTAATCATCTGTTTTCACCAAAATCAAAGCACCTTTCAACCTGAGCAAGTGTTCAAAATATATTCACTCCATAACAGGCCTAGAGTTTGACTTCACATGGATAGTCATACCCAAATGACCAAAACTACAAAAGAGATATCTCATAGTTGAGTTCCAGATTCCTTTTTTTGCTTGTTTCAGAAATAAGAAAAGGCTGGCAGGTGTCTGTTACAGGCAGTTAACCTCTACTCTACTGTGATCTTGTGGGGTTCTAACAAGTGAAGGTTCATATTCAATTTCCCTGATATAAAAATTCCAGTTCCAAGTCAATTCCATTCCTTATTATATTAAAAGTCCAAACAATGGATCTGTACAGTGGCTGGCACATGTGCCAGAGTGTAACTTCCTTATTACTCTAAATGTGAAAGTTTATGTTAATTTTTAATTCAACAACATTACAGCCAACTAATGATTTTGTTATAAGAGTCTCAAACTCCAACAGTGACTGAAGTTTCCTATCTACCAATGACTGTATGATTAAAAAAAACCCAGTAATGCATGTGCTTCACTCCCATGTTCTCATGCATTCTTTCTTAGTTGCTACCCTGGTAGCAACTTCACCATGGCAAAGGAAAGAATAACTTTAGCAGAAATTATTGCTATTATTATACTAAAAATATGCTATCGTATCACTTGGAGTCCTTGTCATATGGTATCTAGGGTAAATATTGAATAGAAACACTAGTTGGACTTCACTCTGCCATAAAAGAACCCTGCCAAGAACATTTCAGTTTAAAAAAAAAACAAAACCCTAAAACATAGCCTTGAAGTAGATTCTGTGGGTGCAGACAAGCCGTACGTCTCCCTCACTCTTTGGATATTTTTACTATATTCAAAGATTTTTTCAGTATTTTGAGAATAACAAAGATCACATTCACCACCTTCTGGCTTGTGTTTTAACTACCACTGGTGTTTTGTATTCCTCTTGTTCAATAAATGTTGTTGCTGAGTTTATTATTCTTAAATAGAATTTCTGTAGATTCTTATGTTAACGAGGAAAATTAAAACCAGCAGATTTTAATGCCAGTTAAAATGACAGTGTTTTGAACATGACTTGATTTTGCAAAATATTTTGCTTCTTAGTAAATCTCACAGGAGAATGAGGAAGGAGAACAGAACGGTCCTTGAAGGACATTGAAAATTACTGTAAGATCTTTCAAAATGGGGACTTGGGATTTGAGTCTTGGGACTCAATTTAGTAGGCCAGGTCTACTGGGGGCTGGTGGTCAGAGTTTTGGTAGGAGGCTTTCCAGACTGGTCAAGGAGGCTTTAAACTAGATGTACTGGGGGAGGGGGGCATCATTCCATCCCAACACACCCAGTCAGTTGCCAGCACCTATGGTAAGTGCTTGGAGCAATGTAGAGATATCCCAGCCGCTGCAGCCAATGAGCCGGCTTCATTTGGAGCTTGGCTGAGATGCCTCTATATAAACGCCCATAGCACGGGGATCAAACAAGAGGAATTAGAGATGTGTGCACATCTACGGGGGTATGATATAATAGGCATCACAGAAACATGGTGGGATGGCTCCTATGACTGGAGTGTTGGAATGGAAGGTTACAGGCACTTCAGAAAAGACAGGCCCAGCAGGTGGGGAGGGGGAGTTGCTATTTATGTTAAGGATAGGCTGAAGAGTATGGAACTCTCTCTGTGAACAGGTAAGCAGTCAATAGGGAGTTTGTGGGTCAGGGTTAAAGGGAGAACAGTGATGGGAGACATTACTGTGGGGATCTGTTACAGACCACCTGATCAAGAGGAATTTGTGGATGAAGCACTCTATAGACAGATAGGAAAAGCCTCACACTCGCAGGCCCTTGTTCTCATGGGTGACTTCAACCACCCTGACATCTGTTGGAAGGGTGGTATGGCCCAGCACAAGCAATCCAGGAGGATCCTCAATTGTGTGGAAGACAATTTCCTTTTGCAAGTGATAGAGGAGCTGACAAGGAGAGGTGCCATGCTTGACCTTGTGCTCACCAACAGGGAAGGGCTCGTTGGAAATGTGACGCTCCAGGGCAGCCTTGGATGCAGAGATCATGAGATGGTTGAATTTGAGATCCCCAGGCCAGTGAGAAGAGCGTGCATCAAGCTCACTGCCCTGTACTTCAAGAGAGCAGACTTTGGCTTCTTCAGGAACCTGCTTAGGAAAGTTCCATGGAATATAGCTTTAGAGGGAAGGGGGCCCAAGATGGTTGGTATTCAAGGATCACCTAGTACAAGCTCAAGGGGTGTTGCATCCCAACTAGAAGGAAGTGCAGCAGGAGGGCCAGAAGACCTCCTTGGATGGATAAGGAGCCCCTGAGGAAAATTCAAATGAAAAAAGAGGCTTATAAAAGGTGTAAGCAAGGACAGGCAGCCTGGGAAGAATACAGGGATGTTGTCCAGGAAGCTAGGGACCAGGTTAGGAAACTAAGGCCCAGCTAGAATTAAACTTGGATAGGGATTTTAAGGATAACAGGAAGGGATTCTATAGGTACGTAGCGAATAAAAGACAGACTAGGGACAACATAGACCCCCTCCGGAAGCCATCAGGAGAACTGGCGATTTGGAGAAGGCTGAGGTTCTGAATGACTTCTTTGTCTCAGTCTTCATTGGCAAATGTTCAGACCACACCACCCAAGTCTTGGAAGGCAGAGGCAGGGACTGTGAGAATAAAGACCTTGGGCCCACTGTAGGAGAGGATTTGGTTCGAGACCATCTTTAAGACCTGAACGTGCACAAGTCCATGGGTCCTGATGAAATCCATCTGCGGGTCCTGAAGGAGCTGGCAAATGAAGTTGCTAACCACTGTCCATCATATTTGAAAAATCATGGCAGTCAGGTGAAGTTCCCAATGATTGGAAAAAGAGAAATATAACCCCCATTTTCAAAAATACTTACACTGGAAACAGTGAACTCATAGTAAATGTAGGCTTTACTGTCAATTGTACCTAAAAAGTGAAGAAAGAAGTTTACATTTGCAGTGTGGAAAGGAACAGCATTAAAACCACAACCGTGGCACTACTAGAGACCAATAGATTTCTAATTATTAGCATTACTGCATTTAGAGACTGCACTGAGTTTCTCAAATATTTACTAATGTTTCTCTGAGAAATGGAAATGTCTCCTTTACTTTTTTCCTTAGGACAGTCTCCCAGGATGTCTGATTTTCCACATTTCCCAAACATTCATTGAAACCAGCTTTTCTGAAATGTACTGTTTTTTTTTAATTTTATTTTATTTTACTGTTACACCTTCTTACCTTGTCTTAAACGTAGATGAATGGCTTGAAGCTAATCCTTTAAAATACCCTAAACAGTGCTTTTCATGCAAAAATGACAAGAATAATAGCAATAATCTCTACCACAGAACCATAAGAGAGGAAATAATGCACACCCAGGGAAAAGAAATCCAAATGTTGAGTCAATCTGGCATTTTTTCCACCATGTATGTAACGGAAAATACTGTCATTGCAAACAAATTGTAAACAGTTTCCCTGAAGAGAGTGCAACCTGTAAGTTTTGGTCAGGAAAGAAACTCATAAGATGTTTTATTGCTTTGTTTCTTAACAGAAGTGAGTACAATAATAGCTTTGTTATTTTAGGCCTTGACAAAGGAGTACATAGAGCTGTCACCCATACCTATAGCAGCCACCCAAGACGTTCAATATTTATGGCAGCAATAACCAGACAAATCACAGCTCTATTTCTTAAAAGCATCCCAAACTTCCACAAAACTAAAAATAAAGTAATAGAGGCTTGAGAATTTTTCTGGGTGATATGATTGGTACAATGAAAATAACAAATGAGAGATCCTCAGGTTGAATGCACACTGAAGAGAACAAGGTAGCTATGCAACTAAGAAATGGGAATGCAGTTTTGAAGGCCAAGACCTGCCTGCTTTCATGGAAGTTCAGTTGAACCCCTGATCCCTGCACAAGTGAAACAAATATATTGTGACAAAGGATAAAGGTAGCTTTTAGCAAGAGGAGAATAAACCAGAGAAACTAGACCACTTAAGTGTCTAGAAGAAGGTGATTAGTTGTAGAAGATGTTAGTCTTTTGTTAGTTGTATCTGAAGTAAGAATGCACGAATTCAGATACTGCTGTGGATTTACAATAGTGAGGTTGATTCATATGGGACAATCGCTGTCATCTCCTGAATATCTCCTAAATATCTCTCTCAAAAAAAACAGTCATGCATAGGTAGACACCTGGTGTGTAAAATACCTCCATGAATTACTGCCTGCAGGACCTCTAACTAATTTTCAGGATTATAAATTAAACACACATAATATTGTGTGTCGTTATTTGCATTAACAAAAATATAAGCATTACTTTTTTTTTTTACCTCAATAGTAGTATGACTCCAACTTCATTTTTATCTGTACATTCTTATTGTTACCAATTTCCTATTTTTTAAACTATGTTTTTTTCAGTGTATCTAAAGGAAACTCTGGCACTTTTGCCACTGACAGCATTCTATGGATACAGCATTGATGCATGAATCAGGAGATTGGGGCTACTTGAAATGCAACACTATGAACGGGCATACACCATAAACCAAAATCCTTAGCTCTGAATGCTATGGTTTGTTGTAAATAAAACAATAAATTCTGTGAAATACAAGTCCTTCAATCATTTTATACAAGCCTGAGCATTTTGTAAAGCTTCTTCAAAAAATCATTTCAGAAGAACCCTTTGAACTCTTTGCTGACTTTTCTAAAAAGTGTGCAATAAAAGACAAAGGTTGAAAGAGCAGCCTAAAGTGTTTAGATTTAGACACTTCATTTTCCAAATTTTCCTTCATCTCAAGATTAACATGAAGTATATGTCTATGGATATAGAATGAAAAAGGTTTTTTCCATTGCTTGAGCATGACCTCTGCTTTCCTTAGACATGCATGTATTCCACGCATAAATTTAACCTCATATTAAAGCCTTGTGTTGTTTGTTTGGTTTTAATTTTAACTTCATCTGAGTTAAGCAGTGACCTTAATCTTAGAGTAAGAAAAAGGAATGTGTGTTGTAAATTGCTTGAAAGAAAAAAAATGAATGGTGAGGTAAGTGCTGTCATCACCAGCTCAACATGATAACTGCCTTCTAGTGATAGAGGAGCCAATGCAGAGAGCTGCAATGCCGGACCTTGTTCTCACCAATAGGGAGGGCTGGGTGGGGAATGCAAAGCTCAAGGGCAGCCTTGGCTGCACAGACATCAAATAGAGGAGTTTAAGATCCTTAGGGCAGCGAGGAGGGTGCGCAGCATGCTCAGTACCCTGGAATTCCAGAGGGCAGACTTTAGCCTGCTCCAGGATCTACTAGGTAGAGTAACATGGCATAAAACCCTGGAGGGAAGAGAGGCCAAGAAAAGATGGGTAATATTCAAGGATCACCTCCAAGCTAACGAACGATGCATACCAACAATATGGAAGTCGGGCAAAAATGCCTGGGACTGGAGGAATGACGAAACAACCACTGTAGGATGACATCAGGTTCATAACCATCTAAGGAACCTGAAGGTGCACAAGACCACGGGACCTGAGGAGATGCATCAGCAGGTCCTGTGGGAACTGGCACATGAAGTGTTCAAGCCACTGTCCATCATAGTTGAGCAGTCGTGGCGACCCAGTTAAGTTCTTGTTGACTGGAAGAGAGGAAACGTAACCCCCGTTTTTAAAAAGGGGAAAAAGGAAGACCCAGGGGACTACAGGCTGCTCAGTCTCCCCTTGGTGCCCAGCAAGATCATGGAGCAGGTCCTCCTGGAAACTATGCTCAGTCACGTGGAAAATAAGGTGATTGATGACAGCCAACATGGCAAAATTGTGCTTGACAAATTTGGTGGCATTCTTTGTGGGGTGACAGTGTTGGTAAGGACAATGGCTTTAAACTAGAAGAGGGTAGATTAAATATTAGGAAGAAATTTTTCACTATGAGGGTGGCAAAAAATGTAACGGGTTGGCCCAAGAGGCTGCGGCTGCTGAAGTGCACAAGACCAGGATGGATGTGGCTTTCAGGAATGATTCTGAGATTTTGTCATCCTGGTCTAGTAGTGCTTCCTGCCCATGGAAGGTGGTTGGAACTAGAAGATCCTTAAGGTTCCTCCCAATCCAAACCATTCAATGAGTCTATGATCACAAGAAGCGATGCTGACAGGCCTTGCATATTTAGAGTTCAAGGAGGAAACAAGTTCTCTGGCCTCTTTACTAAAGGAGAGGTTTGTAACATGACAAATATAACCCATACAAGCTTACTCACATGCATATACGCCATTATGCTTTGGAAAACACATGGCCTGGAAATAGTTGGCTTCAGCACCATAATTTGGAGGTAACAAAATTTCAACTCTTTTCATAAGCAATTTAATAATTCCAGAAGGTGAATAAAAACTACTGCTAGTTTTTCATCTTCTACCGATTCTTAGCATCAAACACTAATTATTTGCATTCTTGTCCCCCTTGAAACCAGTCTCTATGAATGCCAGAATATGGCTTGACCGCATGGTTTAACAGTCAGCATGTTAATGTAGCAAACATTTATGTATTTAAGGCCATAGTGAAACCTAAACAAGTGAAAACTAAATCAGTAACAATTACAGCTTCACTATTAATAGTGCTGAAAAAGTAATGCTCAGGTATTAATAGGAGGCTTCAATATTCACAATGCCTTATTCTTGCTCCATGAAATCAGCAGGACGATTGAAACTTGTATGCATTAAAGTTTTGCTAATAATACTTATTTCACAATTGTTAACTGCTCACCTGTAGATTCTCCATCATCCCAGAACAAGTTCCCAGAAGCGGCATTATTGTCATCCAGAGCAATTATAAGTCCCATTGGATTCTTGCGGCTGTTGAAAGAGAGATTTTCTGTCTTACATCTGTAACAAATATCAAACCAGTCTGAATGCATCCTTCATGTTCATTTTGAGAAAGTGACGCTCAACAGGGCTGCAATACTTTGAGAATTACCTTAGATTAGCCCTTGGCTGCCTTTCATTTTTATGTCAATTTATTAAAACACATGGCAAGTTTACAAAATGCTATGCAAATAAACCTGGAATTAATCACTGCGCCTGTCAGTGAACAGTTGTGGAAGTGTGGCTCACAGTTACCCCCATATTTCAAGGGCTGCTACTGGTTTGTAACCTGAAAGTCCCAAGGCCAGTCTTGAAGAAAAAACATAAACCCACTCAGTTTTAAGTCATACCTGGCAACTGTTGTGTTAGCTGGTTGTTGAGTAGGGTAGACGTAGCCTCCTCGCAAATGGAGTCCCATTTTGTCAGCTGGCAGGTACATATCAGTCCATTCTTTTCTCACTGAAATTTTTGCTCCCTTATTGACAGGGAATTTAAACAGAATGGGTATGTTCCATTACTCTCTGCTGTGAACTTTTTCTTACAACCTGAGTTTTATCTTAAAGCTTCCTTTTAGAAAAGGCTCAAATTATGTAAATATCTACTTGCCAATGGGCACGTAAAGGCATTGAGTCATGCACTTAACCCACCACCTTTCTTCCCTTATCTCACCGTTTACTTCCTGCAGGGTTTACTTTAGGCGTCTCTCACCAAAGCAGGGCTGAAAATCTTATTTCATCACATCACCATTTACAAAATCTCCCCACAGCTTCCTCTGCATTTACTTACCGTATCATACTCATACCACACAGCATCAGGAATATATGCTTGAATTGAAACCACACCCTGGAAGATGAAAAAGAAATGATATCCAGAAAGGAAGAGAACAATCCAAGCACAATTTCTGCAAAGCTGCTGGGAGGCCACTGAATCAACATTTTACAATTCAGCAGCTCAATGACTTCAACCCAAAGTCGCAACGCTTCAGATCCAGTAGCTCATATCATACCCACAAGTATCTCTGTGTCTTCTTTATTTCCCCCTTTTTTGAGCTGGCATCTTTCAGATCCTTACTTTCATTTATGTATTTAATAAATGGTTTGGTTTTCTCCATGGCATATGTGTTACTGGCATTAACAGTCACAAGTTACAAGATTCTGCCACAGAATAAGCCACAATCTGTTTCCTTGCAGCTCAGACAAGCTGAAAATCAGCAAGAAAAGCTGATTCTGATGGAAATTCAGGGATAAAACAAAGTTGAGGTGAATCAGAATATCAGACCAGATGATTTTGACTCCATCGAGGACTAGAAAATGGGAGCTGTATTTTATAGCACAAAGTGCAAGATTTTTCATTTCAGCAGTGATAAAACTGGAATCATAAATGAAGAGGGGAAAAAAAAGAAAAAGAAAGAGGAAAACTTAAGCTTGCTGGGAATCCATCTACAGGCTGAAAACCTGAAAGTCCCATGCCCACTCTTGAAAAAAAACCAAAACAAAACATAAACCCACTCAGTTTAAAGGCAGACTTTGCAACTGTTGTGTTAGCGAGTTATTGAATAGGATCTATATAACCTCCTCTCAAATGGAGTCCCAGTTTGTCTGCTGGCAAGTACATATCAGTCCATTCTTTTCTCACTGAGATTTTTGCAAAAACCATGTTTGCACTGGCGATAGAGCTGTGGTAATGCTACTGAACAAGGCCCTCCGCAATCACTTTGCCAAAAGACTTTACAGGTCTGCTCAAGACAAAGAACTGGATCAGAGCAAATTTCCTGGGATCCTTGGGGAAATATCAGAGCCTACTTTTGTGGTTCAGCTTTCTGCAGCATTCAAAAGGAGGGGGAGTGTGATTTCAGAAGGAAAGGCATATATAGTAGAGGAGCTATAACCTTTAAGCTGAATAACAGAATTGTCACAAGACCAAACAACAAAGGTTCAGAACTTGAAGGTGGTTTCTAATCAGAGAAATAAAGGAATTTTTTTCTACAGGACTAGAGTAACTGGGATTTTATGCTGCAGTCGCCTGCCTGAGAAAAGAGCTGGAACTGGTGCCTCAAAGTATCCCTGTGCCCTATGAAGTGATCATGAGATAGATACCAAACCAGTCAAACCTACTGAGTACAGGGGAAATAAGAAGCCCTGGATCCCACAGTAACTGCTTATAGATATTCCACAGTAGAACCTGGGCGAGTGGGAAGGTTATAGCAATAACTCTGTTTAGGAACTATACCATCATGACTGTAGAGTGGCATATCAAAATTGCCTTTTAAAAAAAAGTCTTACTAGTTTAGTTGGTACCCTTTACATATGTGAAAGTGTAGGTGTGCATGTGTCCTTGACATGGCTTATTCAAGAGTTTCAAGGCAGGGAAGCATACATTATAATGTGTGTGTATACACACAAACAAGTAAATATATATATGTGATGGTGGAGAATAATTTAATTAGCTGACAATAACATGTCATTGTAACTTGTAAGAGTGACTGATAATAACATGTGCATAGATGGAGAAATTACAGATAGGTTCTGATTACACCAGTATGGTAATTCATGAACTAAGTTGTCTATAAACATTCCAGTGTGCATTTTCACAGACTACATCAGTCTTCAGAAAGTCCTTAACAACATTTAGTGTGTTTGATTTAGTTATTCCCAATAAGAATACCACATAGGCTGATGAGTAAACTTACTCTTGCACAAGTGGTCGTACAACTGTGTCTCCCTGAGTGTGAGCTTTATAAAGAGTGCATACAGGGCAGGAAAGTGTAGTAAACATTGAAGAAAAGGAAAGGAATACTTGGAGGCTTTTACAAACACTGAATCAGGTACAAACACAGCTGATCCTGAGGCTGAAAACAAATATCATATTATTATTACTATTTTTCAACAGGCAGAAAACAGTCTGCCAAATGTGAAAAGTGCTATTTCAGAGACAGAAATTCAATGGCGCATAGCTGCAACGTGTTTGCCTTTTCAGTTCTGTGACACCAGAACCTGCTTCTATGGGCTCACAGAGTTTTGAATTGCACGTTCTCCCCTACCCGTCTTTAACAGCAGAGTCATTCAACACATTTTAACTGACTATTAGCTAACACTGCCCATAAATCTATTTCTTCCAAACCTTTATCTCTTGTTTGGTGCTAATATGCCTACAGTTGGGAAAAAAAAGTTAAAAATTCAGACAAATTTAAATCATGGAGAGGAATTTGGTCTACTGCACAGGCACCAGATGGTTTTCGAACCATCAGGTTTCAGTTGTAATCTTCAAGTTATCTGTGAGATACACACTGCTTGTATTGTGTATCACAGAATCATAGAATCATAGAATAGTTACGGTTGGAAAGGACCTTAAGATCACCAAGTTCCAATCCCCCTACCATGGGCACGGACACCTCACACTAAAGCATATCACTCAAGGCTTCATCCAACCTGGTCCTGAACACTGCCAGGGATGGAGCATTCACAACCTCCCTGGGCAGCCCATTCCAGTGCCTCACCACCCTAACAGGAAAAAATTTCCTCCTTATATCCAATCTAAACTTCCCCTGTTTAAGTTTGAACCCGTTACCCCTTGTCCTGTGACTACAGTCTCTAATGAAGAGTCCCTCCCCAGCATCCCTATAGGCCCCCTTCAGATACTGAAAGGCTGCTATGAGGTCTCCATGCAGCTTTCTCTTCTCCAGGCTGAACAGCCCCAACTTTCTCAGCCTATCTTCATACGTGAGGTGCTCCAGTCCCCTGATCATCCTCGTGGCCCTTCTCTGGACTTGTTCCAACACTTCCATGTCCTTTTTATGTTGAGGACACCAGAACTGCACACAATACTCTAGGTGAGGTCTCACAAGAGCAGAGTAGAGGGGCAGGATCACCTCCTTTGACCTGCTGGTCACGCTCCTTTTGATGCAGCCCAGGATACCGTTGGCTTTCTGGGCTGCGAGTGCACACTGCCTGCCCATGTTCAGTTTCTCATCAACCAGCATCCCCAAGTCTTTCTCTGCAGGGCTGCTCTGAATCTCTTCTTTGCCCAACCTGTAGCTGTGCCTGGGATTGTTTCGACCCAGGTGTAGGACCTTGCATTTGGCATGGTTAAACTCCATGAGGTTGGCATAAGCAGCTTACAGTAATGACTGTCATCAGATATCTGCAGATAACTTTCTTTAAAATGTCGCGTGAAGTATCTTTAAAAAAAAAAAGGACAGCTACAACAACTCAATTTTGATCCCAATTCCACAGATTATTTTAAAAGACATTTAACTGTAATGTTGAGAGCTACAGAGAAAGATTTCTTACCCATGGCATTGCTATTCATTAGGAAAACACCAAAGGAGGCTCCAGTGTTGTCTTCCAAACACAGGAAGAAAGTTTGAACTCCATATAAGTTATCCATTGACTTAAAGGATAAAAAGGGAAAGTAAGATGATTAAAATCTAATAACAGTATCTGTTCTGGGGTATTTAAAAATGTATCACAGGTAGAACTTGAAACTTCTCAAAATATAGCCAACAATAAAACAAAAATCCTGACACCTTCCTACAGATCTGTTTTTTTCTTCCTGGCATACGTCTCTTTTATGAGAACTTTTTGCATTAAAACAAACACTTCCCCAAATATACAGGTAACACAAGCAAGCAGATGTGATGGATCTTCAGGCAAATCTGCATATAGCAGTACTATTTCTGGGTAATATCTACGCACATCAAGCAAACAACAGAACTTGAAGAGTGCTTTCATCACCTTTCACCATAGATTAGATTTTACATCTAATCTGTATTTCTCTTAATCTTGCAAGATAATCGTTTTTATGTCTAATCTATGGAAATAAGAGTGCCTTGCTTTATTTCATTTCTTTTCTAATGTTGTTTTTCTGTTACTATTAGCAACAAAAACCTTAAAAATTTTAACAACTTTTGTAATAGTTGTTTCCCCTATAAAAGAGAACTCAGAACAATTTAATAAGAAACGAACTTCAGCGACTTAAAATTAGTCTAACTTGATTCTGTTCACTGTTAGTTTAACTTAATGAGTCTACACTCAATAGAGCTGTTCAGATAAGAACTATCTTCAAACCTGAATGTACTAATTATTAAGAACAGGTAGCTTATAAGAGGAATATTTAGTAGACATAAAAAATAAATGTGATTATTTCTACAACAGTGTTTGTTTATAGTGAGACAAATGTGAGCTAATATACATATTGCTCCTGAAAACAAAAATGACCTTCATGATATTTCACCAGGGCAAATCATACTGTGCATCACTTTCTTCAGTAATTTTATCTTGACAGCACATAATTAGTTTCTCCGGTCAAATTCCTCCACAGCTATCAAATTTACAAAGAAAATAAAAAAATCTAACAAACCCACAGAAAAGGTAGAAAACTCAGAAGACATGAGAAATAGAAGGGGGGTGTGTGTGTACATATATGTTTATTTCAGTGTCACAGAGGGCTGCTAATATAGAATTACAGTTGTCAGAGCAGTTGGATTTAGACAAGAAGCAAAGTCCTGTTGGGCTGCAGAGTGTCTCAACCAGCAGAGCTGGAAACAACCATGCTATCAAAGGAGACAGCTGAGAAGCAGGAATTTTTTATGCTTGTCCTACAGCTGTGCTTAGCTAGGACCTTCTTCTGCACAGTGCTTCCTTGCCAGCTAATGGTGGAGGACACATAGGTATCACAAATACAGGAGAGACAGCTGAAGGACATACATATTTCCATGGCTCACATTCAGAAGTATCTACCTGCATTGTTAGATGCCTAATTAATTTTAACAATTCAGCTCATAACAATATCCAACACTGATATTGTTGTCCCCAGTGAGCTCACTCAGTGCTTACCTTGCCGTACATAAAAGTAAACACTGCAATGTCTTCTCAGAAAAAAACTCTCCTAGAAGGTTTCTCAAAGTAAGAGGTACAAATTAAAAATTATTAATTAATTACATGCAGTCTCTCCCCCTAGTTTCTATTAGTATATATCCTATTTCAACAAAATACTGAAGTCCTCTCTCAAAGTAAAGCAAATGTATTGCTCCTTTATGAAGCTGAGGTAATAGTGATGAATGGTGTTTATTTGAAGCTCACAAGCTAGTTATAAATCATTACTTTACTTTAGAAACTCCAATAAAAACAGCCAAAAAATATTCATGTTAAAGAATATACTTTCATTCAAGCCTGACATTGATTTCTTTTTCTAAAATGTTCATAATGTGTTGATTATGTACTAGATATGTAAGGTTTTAAATGTTTTTTACTCAGAGCATTAACTCAAGTGAGTGCTTAGAAGCTTTAGTAATTTCCATGGTCCAAGCAAAATATATTCATGAATATAGTAATAATATTTGATTGTTTGCATTCCCAAAGTACAGAAAAATCTTTTTTCTATATATTTTCTGTATACAAAGTCAGAAAAAGCAAGAAGCAGACAATGAGTATCATTGTTTGATTCAGCATGTCATCTGATATTAACCCATATGTCCTCAGTCTATCTCTGTTAACAAATCAATACAGTGAGGAACTCACAGAGCAGCACCACGTACTTGTCTGCTTAAGAGAACTTGGATCAAAGTCTAAGAAGGTGTCCATGTAAGAGTCTTATCTCAGAATTACTGAAAAATGCGTGCACTGGAAATCATTTTGGAGAGAGAGCCACACAGATTACAGAAACAAATAACTGTTGACAGACATATTCTATCTTGTAAAAGGGCAGCTGTTAAGGGGAACTTTTCCATCATTTGCTGAGTTAGAAGGATGTTAACTGAAGAAGCGTGCTCATCTGTACTGAATGCTATGCACAGCAATGCATTAGTACATATTGGTATTCATTTCCTTCATCAGTAGAAACTGAGGAATCTAATACTTGAATGTTTATCTATTGGTTTTCAAGTGCACATCAACACAAAAATCAGAAATTGGGGAACATTCATCAATACCATCTATCTTTTAGTAATAACATGCAGTGCTTGAAAAGCCTTTTGCGAAAAACATAGTGGAACTGTAATAACACATTCATACTCACTCTTCCAATGAAGCCTCCCTTTTGTTTGGTTGTTTAAGAGTTGAGGGAACACACTTGTGTAAACAAGTGTATCAAGGATTTATTTCTGAGGGGCTGCTTTTATCCCGTGCTAACATCAGCTGTCTTTAAGATGCTCAAACTCGGAGTCAATCATCATTGTCATTTTCTTCTTCAGAGACAAAATTGCATTCACTTTTATCAAATTAAACAAAAACCTATTGAAAGTGTAGACAGTCCTCCAGAGCACTGTTTCAACATGGTTCTATTGGACTAGGTTTCTTATTCTCCCTCAATATACCTGTTTAATCAGTCATGCACTACTGAATACCAAGTCCATCTTTTTTGCTCTCTATAATTGCAAATCAATCATTAGAGAGGATTCTAAGCAAGAAAACAATATTAACAAGACCACAGAAGTAATCGCTAATTAATTAAACTTGAAGCATTGATAATCCAACTGGCCTATGACTCTGACAGGTAATCATTCTTGGACTGATTTAATAAGCACACACATCCTGACACTTGCCCTTTCTAACAGGTCTTGGAGCTATGCCGTTAGGTTTTTAGGTTTGTTTTATTTATTTATTTCATTTTAGAACCTACATGAGAAGAAAGCAGTCAATATACAAATCTATCAAATACTTTACTTGGAGTGTCACATGACAGGGCTTGCACCAGCTGTTCTTGGTAATGGGTTCAAACTTAGACGGGAGAAGTGCTGTGGTTTAAGCCCAGCCTTAAATCAGAACCACACAGTCTCTGTCTCACTCCCCCCCTTTCCCTCCCCCACTACTGGAGGGATGGGGAGGAGAATCGAAAGAATGTAACTCCCACAGGTTGAGATAAGAACAGCCCAGTAACAAAGGTATAACACAAATCACTACTGCTACCACCAATAATAATAATGATAATGGAAAGAACATGGGAAGAGAATACAACCCCTCATCACCTGCCAACAGAGACCCAGCCCGGCCGAGTAGTGATCTAGCCCTTCCGGGTAACTGCCCCCAGCTCTACATGCTGGGCATGACGTGCTGTGGTATGGAATACCTCTTTGGCTAGTTTGGGTCAGGTGTCCTGTCTCTGCTTCCTCCTGGCTTCCCCTCCTCACTGGCAGAGCCTGAGACTCACAAAGTCCTTGGTCAGACTAAACATTACTTAGCAACAACTAAGAACATCAGTGTTATCAGCGGTGTTCCCAGGCTGAAAGTCAAAAACACAGCACTGCACCAGCTACTAAGAAGGAGAAAAATGACTGCTACTGCTGAACCCAGAACAGGAAGTTAAGGTTAGATATAAGGAAGGTGGTGAAGCACTAGAACAGGTTGACCAAAGTGGTAAATGCTCCATCCTTGGCAGTGTTCAAGACCAGGCTGGACAGAGCCTTGGGTGACATGGTCTAGGTTTAGGTGTTGCTGTCCATGGCAGGGGGGTTGGAACTGGAGAGGGAGTCTTCATTAGAGACTGTAGTGACAGGACAAGGGGTAACAGGTTAAAGGGGAAGTTTAGGTTGGATATAAGAAGGAAATTCTTTTCTGTCAGGGTGGTGAGGCACTGGAATAGGTTGCCCAGGGAGGTTGTGAATCCCTGGCAGTGTTCAAGCCTTGGGTGATATGCTTTAGCGTGAGGTGTCCCTGCCCATGGCAGGGGGGTTGGAACTTGGTGATCTTAAGGTCCTTTCCAACCCTAACGATTCTATGATTCTTGATGTCCTTTCCAACCCTAACCATTCCATGATTCTATGATCGTAAGTCCAAAGGGCAGCCTGGTTTTGGTGATTCAGGGCTGCAACATTACTGTGACAAATACGATTAAAAAAGCAATGAAGAATTTTCCCATGAGATTTGAAGCACTGGAAAGGAGTCCTTGGGATAGCAAAAATCCCTGTAATGATGGCACAAAGTAGCTGTAAAGATTTCCCTAGTATTGGGGGAAAGTGAACAAAGAGACAGACCCCAAATCTTTCAGGCAGAGCTCTCCATATTACAGAATTTACTTGCAAAGGAACAGCTAGAGTCCTCGCAGAGCATCCATCAGTCAAACAAAGAGAAGTACACTACATGTACAAAAGCGCACCTCACACCCTGGGCACACATTGCTTACGTGGTAACATGGGCTTTCAGAGAAAACCAGTAACATCTGTGTTATTCAAAAAAAGCACCAATGCTACTTACAGCACTCTACCGTTGCTCACTCTCGTCACCACGATGCCAAAGGGGTTCTGCTTCACATCCACTTTGTAGTTTAAATTGGAGGCTGCAGATCCAGTGAAAGATCCCACATGTTCATGAGGGACTTCAAATCTTTGTGTTCTAGGATCAGTGATCTGTGCATATTTAAACAACAGAACTGCTAGGCCTTTAAAAGCTAATTCAAACAATTTCCATTGCTAACACATAGTTCTGACTTAGGATATTGCCAGTCTTTTAGTTCAATATGCTTATTCTTGTGAAAATACATGAAAATTAAAATTGAAAAGACTACTTTTTCTTAAATGGTACTGTGCTGTTGCACTCACATATGCTCCTTGCCCTGATGTCCTGGGTTCAGCAGTAGCAGTCATTTTTCTCCTTCGTGGTAGCTGGTGCAGTGCTGTGTTTCGACTTTCAGCCTGGCAACAGCGCTAATAATACCGATGTTTTCAGTTGTTGCTAGGTAATGCTTACCCTGACCAAGGACTTTGTGAGGCTCATGCTCTGCCAGGGAGGAGGGGAAGCCAGGAGGAAGCCGAGACAGGACACCTGACCCAAGCTAGCCAAAGAGGTATTCCATACCACAGCACATCATGCCCGGGGGGGTAACTGGGAGTTACCCGGAAGGACACGGGCTTCTGGGTCAGACTTGTTTCTCGGCAGGTGGTATTGTATTCTCTTCCCTTGTTATTTTCTCTTATCGTTGTTGTCATTGGTGGTAGCGGTGGTGATTTGTGTTGTACATTGGTTGCTGGACTGTTCTTGTCTCAACCCATGGGAGTTGCACCTTTTCGATCCTCCTCCCCATCCCTCTGGGAGCGGGGAAGGGGAGAGCCCCGGGGGAAGGAGGGGGGGGGGGGGGGGGGGCTCAATTGCTTCCAGCCTGACACCACTCACTGGGAGTGAGTGAACAAGTTGTCTGGCTAGGGATTAAGCCTTGACAGTTCATTTTGGTGCCCATCGTGGGGCACGAAGGGTTGAGATAACAATAGATCTGACCGGATTAATAGTCACTCATCACAATGCTGATTTATTGGCTCTCAAGGTTGTTCCTCTTGATCTCACAGTTTCAGTATATCGTATCTTACTTCTATCCGGTATTTGCTGTATTAGTGTTTTTCAAGTGTGGGGCTTGGGCTAAGGTTTTTGTCCCATTGTACTTTATGGTAATGACTTGTAATACAACAGAATCATTGATCATGAAACTGATCTGGCTTATGTTCCCAGTGTGGTCACCAACTTTATACTTTGGGAGGTATATAATAGAAGTGCTTAGCAATTACACATCTTTTTTCACCTCCTCAGGTGCTCAACCTGTGAAGGAGACATTCTTTTACCCTCCCAGTCCTCTCTCCAGACCATTTACAGCATCATTTGAGAGTTTTGAAGGCTTTGAACGGCCTTTTAATGCTGTTGAGACTTGTTTGCTGAGCATGATGGGGATCACCATGTTGGCACGCATACAGAGTGTGTTTTGCTCGCGACTGATTTCAAGAGTTGAGCAGAGTCAGGTTTGGGTCTTGTCTGGGGTCAAACGATGATGTAGGAGGACCAAGAGATTTTCCCTGAGGCTGGACAGCCATGAGTGGCAGGGTGTGTGGGATAGTATGGGCAAGTATCTAGGTCAGTGGGCCCCTCCAGTACTTTGGAATTTCACTACCGAACAACTGCAAAATCCAGAAGAATTAGTAAAACACTTAAATGAGGTGTGTGGTCATTCTGGCCATACCAGAGATGGACAAATCATGCCAACGTGCTGGGGCTTGGTCTATGTTTACAGGGCCTTGTTCAACACTATCCAGCACCTTCAAAAGGAAAAGAATGTTGGTGGATCTGAGGGCAAAGCAACAGTCAGCACAGCTACTCCAGCTCCAAGCACAGCAGCTTCACCACCCCCAGCGACAAGTACAGTCGCTACTCAAACTTTGGCTGCAATAAACAGCACAGCTACCCCAGTGGCAAGTACAGCAGCTGCTCAAACTTCGACTGCAACAGACAGCGTGGCTACCCCATCTCCAAGCACAGCAGCTACACCACCCCCAGCATCAAGTACAGTTGCTACTCAAACCACTGTGATAATCACTGCAGCCAAACCAGAGGACCAATTCGTACCAATATCGGTTGCTCCTGTATGCAAGAGAAAAAGCAAAAAAGACGCAAGAAAGGTGAAGCGAGATGAAGAAACAATGTATTCACCACCCGGTCTAGCATCTGATCAGGAGTCATCATCACATGACGAAGAAGAAGAAGAAGAGGTAACTTCTCGACCTCGGACCTCAACCGAGCTGCGGAATATGCGAAAAGATTTTACCCGTCAACCAGGGGAGCACATCATCACCTGGTTACTCTGATGCTGGGACAATGGGGCCGATGGTCACGAACTAGAAGGTACACAAGCCAAGCAGCTGGGATCACTTGCTAGAGAAGGGGGAATTGACAAAGCAATTGCAAGAGAGAAAAAGTCCCTCAGTCTTTGGAGGCAGCTCTTGGCAGCTGTGAAAGAAAGGTTTCCATACAAGGACGATGTTACGAGTCGTTCGGCCAAGTGGACTACTATAGACAAAGGCATCCAGTCTCTGAGGGAATCAGCCATCGCAGAGATGATCTATCACATCAAGCCGTATAACGGGGATATACCCATAGATCCAGATGAAGTTGAATGTACGCAACCCATGTGGCGAAAACTCACATGGAATGCACAGTCATCATATGCCCGTTCATTGGCAGCAGTAACTTGGAATGACATAGTACCACTAACAGTGGATGAAATGGTTCATAAACTCCGAGAGTTCGAAGACAATCTCACCCCTTCCATCATCTCAGCTGTGAAAAAACTGTCCCAGGACCTCAAACAATTGAGGGACTCTCTATCTGATTTATCCAGCTCCTCACGCGTACCAACACACGTCTCAGCTATTAACAAAAGGTGTCCTATTGTTCAAGAGAGGACATACAGGAGGTATACGCCACGGGCTACCCTATGGTTTTACCTGCGGGATCACAGAGAAGACATGACAAAGTGGGATGGAAAACCTACTTCAGCTTTGGAGGAACGGGTGAGTGAATTGAAGAGGGGAGCAAGGGCCAAGACTGATCATCCCATGAGAGCTAAGGCTTCAGTCTCTGGTGAGCAGTTTCCCACATGGAATGGAAGAGCTGATTTTACTCCAGCTCCTGTGATAACTAAGAATAATCCCTTTCACCACGACTTAAGTGTCCGATGCTGTGATGACCATTAGAGGGGCCCTGCCTCCCGCCAGGTGGAGGTAGGGGACAATCAGATTTACTGGACTGTGTGGATCAGATGGCCTGGCACATCAGTCCCACAGAAGTATAAGGCTCTAGTAGATACCGGTGCACAGTGTACCCTGATGCCATCAAGCTGTCAAGGGGTGGAACCCATCTGTATTTCTGGAGTGACAGGAGGATCCCAAGAGTTGACGGCGCTGGAGGCTGAAATCAGCCTGACTGGGAGGGAATGGCAAAAGCACCCTATTGTGACTGGTCCAGAGGCTCCATGCATCCTCGGCATAGACTACCTCAAGAGAGGGTACTTCAAAGACCCAAAAGGGTACTGGTGGGCTTTTTGGTATTGCTGCTTTAGAGACTGAGGAAATTGAGCAGCTGTCCACCTTGCCTGGTCTCTCAGAGGATCCTTCTGCTGTGGGGTTGCTGAAAGTCGAAGAACAACAAGTGCCAATTGCTACCACAACAGTGCACCGGTGGCAATTTCACACCAACCGATTCTCCCCGAGTCCCATCCATCAGCTGAGCTGTAGACTAGAGAGTCGGGGTGATCAGCAGGACCCGCTCACCCTTCAATAGCCCCATATGGCCAGTGCGAAAGTCTAATGGAGAATGGAGACTAACAGTAGACTATCGTGGCCTGACTGAAGTCACACCACCATTGAGTGCTGCTGTACCGGGCATGCTAGAACTTCAGTATGAACTAGAGTCAAAGGCAGCCAAGTGGTATGCCACGATTGATATTGCCAATGCATTTTTCTCAATTCCTTTGGCAGCAGAGTGCAGGCCACAGTTTGCTTTTACTTGGAGGGGTGTCCAGTTCACTTGGAACCGACTGCCCCAGGGGTGGAAACACAGCCCTACCATTTGCCGTGGACTGACCCAGACTGCACTGGAACAGGGGCAAGCTCCAGAACACCTGCAATACATTGATGACATTATTGTGTGGGGCGATACAGCAGAAGAAGTCTTTGAGAAAGGGAGGAAAATAATCCAAATCCTGCTGAAAGCCGGTTTTGCCATAAAACGGAGTAAGGTCAAGGGACCTGCACAGGAGATTCAATTTTTGGGAATAAAATGGCAAGATGGACGTCGACAGATCCCCAAAGATGTGATCAACAAGATAACAGCAATGTCTCCACCAACTAATAAGAAAGAAACGCAAGCTTTCTTGGGTGCAGTGGGGTTCTGGAGAATGCACATCCCAAATTACAGTTCGATTGTAAGCCCTCTCTATCATGTGACCCGGAAGAAGAATGATTTTAAATGGGGCTCTGAGCAGCAACAAGCCTTTGAGCAAATTAAACGCGAGATAGTTCACGCAGTAGCCCTTGGACCTTTCCAGACCGAGCCAGATGTAAAAAATGTACTGTACACTGCAGCTGGGGAGAACGGTCCTACCTGGAGCCTCTGGCAGAAAGCTCCAGGGGAGACTCAAGGTCGACCCCTCGGCTTTTGGAGTCGGGGATACAAAGGATCTGAGGCCAGCTACACCCCAACTGAGAAAGAGATACTGGCAGCCTATGAAGGGGTTCAAGCTGCTTCGGAAGTGATTGGCACTGAAGCACAGCTCCTCCTGGCACCCCGGTTGCCCGTGCTGGGCTGGATGTTCAAAGGCAGGGTCTCCTCTACACATCATGCAACTGATGCTACATGGAGTACATGGGCTGCACTAATTACACAACGAACTCGAATAGGAAATCTCAGTCGTCCAGGCATTCTAGAAGTCATCATGGACTGGCCAGAGGGCAAAGATTTTGGAATGTCACCAGAGGAGGAGGTGATGCGTGCTGAAGAGGCCCCACCATATAATAAACTGTCAGAAAGTGAAAAGCAGTATGCCTTGTTTACTGATGGGTCCTGCCGTATTGTGGGAAAGCATCGGAGATGGAAGGCAGCTGTATGGAGTCCTGGACGACAAGTTGCAGAAACTGCTGAAGGAGAGGGTGAATCGAGTCAGTTTCCCGAGGTGAAAGCCATCCAGCTGGCCCTGGACATTGCTGAACGAGAAAAGTGGCCAGTACTTTACCTCTATACTGACTCATGGATGGTGGCAAATGCCCTGTGGGGGTGGTTGAAGCAATGGAAGCAGAGCAACTGGCAACTCAGAGGTAAACCTATCTGGGCTGCTGCACTGTGGAAAGATATTGCTGCCAGGGTGCAGAACCTGGTGGTGAAGGTACGTCATGTAGATGCCCATGTACCCAAGAGTCGGGCCACTGAGGAACACCAGAACAACCAACAGGTGGATAAAGCGGCTAAGATTGAAGTGGCTCAGATGGACTTAGATTTGCAACATAAAGGTGAATTATTTTTGGCCCGGTGGATCCATGACACTTCAGGCCATCAGGGTAGAGATGCAACATACAGATGGGCCCGTGATCGAGGGATGGACTTAACAATGGACACTATTGCCCAGGTTATTCATGAGTGTGAAACATGTGCTGCAATTAAACAAGCCAAATGGTTAAAGCCTCTTTGGTATGGAGGACAATGGCTGAAGTATAAATATGGGGAGGCCTGGCAGATTGACTATATCACACTGCCACCAACCCGCCAAGGCAAGCGCCATGTGCTTACTATGGTGGAGGCAACCACCGGGTGGCTGGAAACATACGCTGTGCCCCACGCCACTGCTCGGAACACCATCCTGGGCCTTGAGAAACAGATTTTGTGGCGACAGGGCACCCCAGAGAGAATTGAGTCAGACAATGGGACTCATTTCCGGAATAACCTTATAGATATTTGGGCCAAAGAGCATGGCATTGAGTGGGTATATCACATCCCCTACCATGCACCAGCCTCTGGGAAAATCAAATGGTAGAAGGGGCTGTTAAAAACTACACTGAGAGCAGTGGGTGGGGGAACTTTCAAGCATTGGGATACACATTTACCAAAGGCCACCTGGTTGGTCAACACCAGAGGATCTGCCAACAGGGCCGGCCCAACCCAGTCAGAACTTTTACATATTGTAGAGGGGGACAAAGTTCCCGTGGTGCATATGAAGAATTTACTGGGGAAGACAGTCTGGGTTATTCCTGCTTCAGGTAAAGGCAAACCCACTCGTGGGATTGCTTTTGCTCAGGGACCTGGATAGACTTGGTGGGTAATGCGGGAAGATGGGGAAGTCCGATGTATACCTCAAGGGGATTTGATTTTAGGGGAAAACAGCCAATGAACTTAATTGTATGCTGCTGCCTGCTGTGTAATACTTTTATAGCCCATCAACTAGATGTCTCCAGGTCACCAGCGACTAGCCCTGACTTCCCTCCAACCATCATCCCAACAGAGAATGAACTTTGATAGAATCAGATGAGTTCCACAGTAAAGGAACGACCAGCATCAGCAGGCAACGATCCAATACTGCACACAGCCTTTCCTGCCCTGAAAGATTGTTACAAGAGATGGAACCTGACATCATGGACCGAATGGACTCGTCAGCATTATAGGGATTCATCCACGCACTAAGAAAATTATCTCTTTCTCTTGGTCTGTATGTATATGGATGTATATATGTGGGAGAGCGATGGTATATTGAAAATGTGGGATCTGAACATGACGTGAATGGTATGGAATAAGGGGTGGATAATGTCCTGGGTTCAGCAGTAGCAGTCATTTTTCTCCTTCTTGGTAGCTGATGCAGTGCTGTGTTTTGACTTCCAGCCTGGGAACAGTGCTGGTGATACCGATGTTTTCAGTTGTTGCTAAGTAATGTTTACCCTGATCAAGGACTTGTGAGGCTCATGCTCTGCCAGGGAGGAGGGGAAGCCGGGAGGAAGCAGAGACAGGACGCCTGACCCGGGCTAGCCAGGGAGGTATTCCATACCACAGCACGTCATGGCCGGGGTGGGGGGTAACTGGGAGTTACCCGGAAGGACACGGGCTTCTGGGTCGGACTCATTTCTCGGCAGGTGGTATTGTATTCGCTTCCCTTGTTATTTTCTCTTATCATTGTTGTCATTGGTGGTAGAGGTGGTGATTTGTGTTGTACATTGTTTGCTGGACTGTTCTTGTCTCAACCCATGGGAGTTGCACTCTTTCAATCCTCCTTCCCATCCCTCCGGGAGCAGGAAACAGGAGAGCCTGGGGGGGAGGAAGGGGGGGGGGGCTCAATTGCTTCCAGCCTGACACCACTCACTGGGAGTGAGTGAACAAGCTGTCTGGCTAGGATTTAAACCTCGACACCTGATATACTGTTCTTCCACCACAGCTTGAATTAGAGCCCAGGTAAAAATACCTTAAACCTCTTATTAGATGGTTCATTATATTTCATGCTTGTCAGACCGGCTTTAAGGTGACCTCTTGGCAACTTTAGCTGACAAAAGGGGACTAAATGGTGGTTTTCAGTTCCTCCAACCATTGAAAGTCACTTTACATGTATTTTGGAACATTGTATATATTTGGAATGAGCACTACAAAATGCAGAAATCTTGTCTTAGGCTGAGATGCTCACAAATACATGGAGTCACCTGTTTGCTTTGTCTGCAACATGCACAAAAGCAGGCAGAAAATATGCACATATTAGTCTGTATGAGCAGTTTTACTGAAACACAAAAGTGTTTTTTGTGTATTAGCCATTATTTTTATTTCCATCCCCAAGCTATTTGCTTCAATCCTGGTGTTTAAGTGGACTTATTAATACATAATGGAACTGTATGTAAATCAGGGTGCTTTATATCACACCCCTGTAAGAGGGCATACACCTTTTCTAATGTACCAATACAGGGTTTCATGGTTGTAGGGTTTTTTTCCACAGTTTGTGTGCTCCCACATAGTTTTCCTGATAGCTTCGTTTATTTTTCCCTCCCCAGTTGTGTTTTTCGTCTTAAACCATTTTGAAGAGATATAAAATAAACAGACTAAAAATCAGTCTTTTGGAGGAATGGGGCAAAAGTTTTTTTTATGATCATAAATTTCTAAATATGTGATTTATGTCTTGCATTTACAACAGGTAACATTATCTGCAGGAAGGAATAACCATGCTTCACTTTGGTTCAGAGTAAAAACATAACAGGAACATTGAGAGCAGCAAAAATACTGATTTTGGAAAGGACAGCAGGGACATTGTTGTGGATTTTGTTTTCTTTTTCCTTTCTTTTCATTTGAATTTCCATATGCTCAAGGGAAGAGATACTCTCACTCCACTGTGCTCTCAAAAGATCCCACCTGGAGAACTGTGTTCAGCTCTGAGGCCACCAACCTAAGAAGTAGGCCGAGCTGTTGCAGCTAGTCCACAGAAGGACCATGAAGATGCTCAGAGGGCTGGAGCATCTCACCTATGGAGACAGGGTGGGGGAGCTGGGGTTGTTCAGCTCAGAGAAGACAAGTTACTGGGAAGAACTTAGAGCAGCTTCCAGAACCTAAAGAAGCCCACAAGAAATCTGGAGAGAGATTTTTTACAGGGACATATATTAGGGAAAGGACAAGGGGGAATAGCTTTAAACTGCTAAAGCATAAATTTGTATTGACCGTTAGGAAGAAATTTCTTCCTGTAAGTATAGCAAGACTCTGGAACAGGTTGCCCAGAGAAGTTGTGGATTTCCCACCCTAGGAAACACTCAAGGCCAGGCTGGATGGAGCTTTGAGCAACCTGATCTAGCAGCAGGTGTCGCTGCCCATGGCAAGGGGGTTGGAACTATGGTTCCTCCAAACCAACCCATTCTATGGCTCTATGATTGAAAAGTCTGAATCCAACAGTGATGGAAGTGATGGCAACCATACTTCCTGAAGATCTGCGGCTTCTAAATATTCTCAGGAAGCAGAGCTGAGCACCTCTCACTTAGGAGTTTGGTAATGATAACAACATAACAGTAATTCTGAAAGTCAGTACTTTACAGTGCTTATAGTGATTTTTTTTCCCCACATTTTAATATCCATGTTCCTTAACAGTCTGTATACAACAGTGATGGAAATAATACCAACAGTTAGTTACTGAAGTTCCATGGCATTTACAATAGTCTCAGGAAGCAGAGCTAAGCACCTCTCACCTAGAAGTTTTTCTCTGGTCCTACAGCAGCAATGGAAACCACTTACCTGTTCTTTTGACTCCAGATTGCCCTGATGCTAAAAGCCCAATGAGGACACAGGCTATGATCACCACCAGGCAGAATGGGGCAATCAGGGTGATTTCCAGTCCACTGAACTTCCTCTTGCCCATCTAGACCCAGAGGAACACCATTGGTAAAAGGAAAACACAGGTCCAAAAATTACATTACTACTTTACTAAATTAACAAAATTTATAAATGATGCAGGTTTTAAACCATGTCTCCTAACCCTGGTGATTAAATGAAACATTCCTTAAGGACCTCATGCAATAAATCTCTAATTCAGGATAATTCACACAGTGTAGATTACTGCTATTTAATACACTAGTGGGCAATCACAGAAATGTATTTTGTTGCCTGCAGAACACTTTACACACAAGGAACAATTTTCTCCTGAGATTAACTGTGAAGTTTCTTATGTGTTACTGATATTCCTGAAGCAGAATACTAACAAAATCCTCTCCCCTCTGTTATTGTTTTGTTGTGTGGTGGGATTTTTTTTTCCTCCAAGTTTATTCCCTTCTTCAGAACAAACCCAAACTATATCTTGTTTTATGAAAGAAAGTATAGATTTGTTATAAACATACTTGACAAAAGCCTCTAATGAGCTCTGATACCATGCTTGTGACACTTTGGGAAGGCTAATAGGTAATAGAGTAAGTTATTTATCTGTAAAGTGGAAGAACATATGTGTTCCTATGGCATTTCACAGGGGCTGCAGTTCAGTGAAGGCAGAAGAAACTGCCACAAAAATTACACTGGTTGCTGCTGAAATCACAACTGCAATGAGGGAGTGTATACTGATGGAATTAATTTTTTAAAAGGCTGTCTAAAAGTCATCTTTTTCCCAGTATTGTTTTTTTTTCCTGTGAGACACAGTGGAGCAAGGCATGCTGCACTAAGGTGCTCATGCTGGCTGCAGAGCCAGCTGCTCAAACCCATGTGAGAAACAATACTTCTTTAAACAGTGCACCGGCAATAAACCTAATTAAAATTAACCTCCAGCATCCAGATCAATACACACAGGCAGCTGAAATTCATTTAATATTTGTTAGGAACATTTAACTTTATTAAATAGCCTTAAATATAGAGAAATTTCTTCTTTTTAGTTAAAGAAAGAAAGTATGGGAATACATGTGCATTGCACTGGCATGTCAAAACACATACATGTCGTGGTTTAAACCCAGTCAGGCAACTTGTTCACTCACTCCCAGTGAGTGGTGCCGGGCTGACAACAATCGAGCCCCCCCCCCCCTTCCCCCCAGGGCTCTCCCCTTCCCCGCTCCTGGAGGAACAGGGAGGAGGATCGAAAGGGTGCAACTCCCACGGGTTAAGACAAGAACAGTCCAGCAACCAATGTACAACACAAACCACCACTGCTACTATCAACTACAACAATGATAAGAGAAAATAACAAGGGAAGAGAATACGATATCACCGGCCAAGAAACGAGTCCCACCCGGAAGCCCGTGTCCTTCTGGGTAACTCCCAGTTACCCCCCACCCCGGGCATGACGTGCTGTGGTATGGAATACCTCCCCGGCTAGCCTGGGTCAGGCGCCCTGTCTCTGCTTCCTCACAGCTTCCCCTCCTCCCTGGCAGAGCATGAGCCTCACAAAGTCCTTGGTCAGGGTAAACATCACTTAGCAACAACCAAAAACATTGGTATCACCAGCCCTGTTCCCAGGCTGGAAGTCAAAACACAGCACTGCACCAGCTACCACGAAGGAGAAACATGACTGCTACTGCTGAACGCAGGACAGCCTTGAATTTATATCACAAGATGTTTGCAGCAAGAGACTGAAGTGGCATCTTCTGTGATAAGAGACCAGGGACTGATTCATAATGGGCAGAGTAGAAGCTGCAAACAATACAAGGGTACATGGTGCAAAGCAGTTCCTTGTCTGCCATTCTCTATCAATAATTTCTATTTCGTGATGCTCTGGTCACACCATGGGTACAGCAAACACCACAGAAACGCAGTCACATTACAGTAGCTGAAATTGTTAGAAGCAGCTCCAAAAAAGTCACCAGGTACACTTTTCACATGTTTGAGGAAGACCCCTTCCATCTATACCTTGAGGTATTAACACCATCATTCATTAACCAGAATGTATCTTGCAGCTCATTTGGGGTTCCTTACTACAACTGTCACCACAAGGCTCAGCACCATAATTTTTTCAATTGCTTTATTCCATTAATATACATTGGGGTTTTTTTACCTTGTCCTTAAGTTACGCTCTCCACATGACAAATCTCAAAGGACAAGTATATTACTTTGTGACCACCTCATTTCCATTCTAAGATACTCTCTCATTCAATCTTCTCAGTCTCCTCTCCTTTAAACATCACCACAAAGTCCTTGACTCCAGCTCTTGCCACTACTTAGTACAATCAAGTGAGGAAAATACCTTAGTGCATCAGTCTAGGGTAGAAAGCTACTAGGACCAGGTAGCTAGAACCAGCCTCTTTGATGGCTGCTGGGAGAGAAAATCTCTCAGTCCAGCCTGTAACTAAATGATTTTGCAACTTGAGTGACCCCATGATGCACAGGGGGATTGGAACAAAGTCATGGTCTGTGGAGAATTAGACACTTGTGTGTCCCACAGGATCAGCCATAGGCAATGGCTCTTGAAAGAGAAAAAGGTGAGGAAAACACAGTGAGAGAATAGAAAGACAGGAGCAAGGAACATGCCAAACTTAGGAAAAAACTTGACCCAGTAATTTTTGTAACCTAAAATTGGTGTTTCTACAGGACACAGAAATGGCCATGGAGCATACTGATAATATTTTTTTTTCCCCAGGAGCAAGTTAAGTTTTATGCTAGGTGCTTAGGCAGCTCCCATAAGGACCCAGGGTTGCTATGCTGCCAACAGAAGAAATGAGTATGTGCAATATCCTTGGGTGAACACAAAAGCTATGGGTTATGCCATGAGTTGGCAATCATTTTCATAGTGACTAGCATAAAAGAAGCACCATAAGAAATATTCCTTAAATTTCCAAAGCAACAGCAGCAGCTCAGTGGGAATTTAGTTATTCTTACAGTTAATACTGCTTCTTTATCAATACTTCCTTAAGAATGTGGTCCAATCTTTTATTGACTCTACAGATTTAACAATGCCTCACTCACAATCATGGAAAACTTTGCTCCAAAGAAGAAACAGCTTTTTTACCAGTGTAACCTTGTTGTGGAGACACTCTTGCTGCCGTCAGATAAATTACTCTTGAAATATGAACCAAGATCCCTTTAGCAAGTAGAGGATATTACAGTACCCTTTGTTTCAACTGGTTTAATGCTAGATACCACAGTGCTCCCAATGAAATATTATGCTAATATCTGAAGAGATGTATTTCTGTAATAAAGTCCTAGAATGTTGCCTAAATTCCTTAAGGTCTATATATCAGGAAATGTATGACTACATTTTCTGTTTTTATATTGAACTGTTTTCTGT